TAATGTTTGTTTAATGAATATAAAATATGTCTTTAAAATAATTCAGGTCAATAGACTGATAATATGATAATACTAAGCATCAAAATTGGGTGTATTAGAAATACTCAATTTGGGTTTCATAAAGTGGTGGGAAAGTACCCCTCATCACATGAGACTGAGTACTAAATTTATAGAAATAAGAATTAAGAAGGAAGAAGGGGTGTTTAGATGGAGAGAAAGTGTTGAATAGGTACTAAACCTAGTTTAGAAAGTTCTTAAGGTTGCTTCTTGATCCTTTCTATATGTACGCACTTCAATTAAAAAGTTATCGACAAGAATAAATACTGAATTTCTGCGTGTCAACAGGCATTTGACCAGGCGAACCAATTTTTCTCAGAAGACGTAGTCTTTACTGCCTAATAATCAAAGCTGTTATGCTTCCATAAATGGTTGACAAGCTGGTCAGAGCAGTGTTAATTCTGGGCAGTATCTTAGAAGCAAAGTAGTGAAAAAGCTATAGCAATGAGTGCCATCTAGTGGCCATTCGGAAGGTAAGGTGTAACAATTTAGCCTATGTCAGTAGGAAAAATTCAGCTCGCTGACCATCATTTCTGTGATATAATAACTGTGTGGTGGCCTCTCAGCAGACAGAAGTTTGATTTCTAGTGGGAGTTCATTTTCCAGATCTATAAAAGTTGAGTCTGAGTCTTTCTCCAGATACTAAGGACAAGTAATCACAGATTTGAGTTAGAGAGAAGTAAAGCCATATCTTGGACTTTAAGTAAGAGTCGAATGGGGAAATGTGAAGTAATAATGTTTCCTTCTCTGCTGATTTTCCCACCCTGGAAAGGTATAATGTTAGTGCCTAATCTGGGATCACTTACGGGCCCTCCTTTCCTCCAAGACAATAGCCCCAGTCCACCTCAAGTCATTCCGGATGAGGTGGTGGGAGAAAACATGGCCCAAGATCTGAAAAGGAAAATTCTTAAAGGAAATTGCTGACAAGAGGCTGACAGATCCTGCTTTCAAAATGTTTGATGTAACTACAGACTTACAGAAAAGTTTCAAGAAAATACAAAGAATTCTGATACACTTTATACATTTGACCCAAATTTCCCAAATAGAAACATTTTTACCATGTTTTCTTCTCTCTCTCTCTCTCTCTCCCCCCCACTCCCCCACACATCTGTTTGAGAGTAAATTGTAGACATAATGCCCTGTTATTCCTAAATATCTTAATATATATTTTCTAAAAACAAGAATATTCTCTTATCTAAGTCAGAAAATTATCTCTGATCCAGTACTATCATTTAATGAACAGACCCTTATTATAATTCCACCAATCATTTCACTAACAGCCTTTATGACAGGAGAAAAAAATTTGTGTTCCAGGATCACAGATTATATTTAGTTTTCGTATTTCTTTAGTCTCTTTTAATCTTAAACAATTCTTTAGTTTTCTTTGCCTTTCATTACCTGGCCAAAGAATTTGAGTAACAAAATAAGTAATAATAAATTATAACCCATAGGAAAAATAAACAAGAATCCGTGAGTTCAAACTGATATACATAAATGAATAAATAAACAAGAAACAAGAGAAAGCTCTTCCTGGAGAGGATGCCAACTAATATATGTAAAAGGAATTATGTAATAAAAAAATCACCATTTGACAACTAACTTAGTTGCCAGATTATTAAATCAGGCAAAAATCATTAATGGATACTAAACCTGTTAAATGAAAGATTGATGAGTAATAGGATATTTACATAGTTTCAAAGTGTCTCCCTACAAAATACATATTAATCACAAAGAGAAAAATAATAGGTTTACATTGAAGAAATGTGGCAGACACCACCTAAACGAAGGCTCCAAGTTGACATCACCAGTATAATGAAACAAAGAGACAATATGTACCTCCCGATATGATGCACTGAGAAGGACACAGCATCACTTCTCTGGTATTTCTCCCCAAAATGCATAAGATGAATTTTAAAATGAGGAAACATCTGATTAACCTAAATTGAGAGACAATCTATAAAATAAATGGCTTCTGCTTTTCAAATCCTGCCTTTTCACCAGAAAACTTAGAGTTCCCCTTGCATAAGCCCTACTTTATGCCCTCGGGACTAGGTGGGTGTTTTAGGGTGGTTGAGGGACATTCAGTTTTTCAGGGCAAAGGTCAGATCTGTTTGGATCTGGGAACCCTCTGAGTCCCTCTCTCAGGAGATGACTGTACCCATCAGGATGTACTAGTCACACCTGGGCCAGCAGTGCCATGCCTCCCTGCTACTCTCATGGCTACAGGGTCATTGACTCCAGGGGCCAGGAGACCACATCTCCCTTGTAAGGTGTTTGGCCAGGGTCTTGAACTCTAGAGGAAGTACTCTGGAATTGGGAGGCACTTCCCAAAGGGCATAAATGCAGGACAAATAAAAGCAAGCATTATCTGATGCAGAAGGCGGAAATATCTTGGCCCTAGGGAGTAAGAAATAGGAGTTAAGCTGGCTCGGGAACAGAAAAGTAGAATTTCATAACAGTATCATGAGACAATTACTGAGCAGAGTTCACTCTTTCTTAGGTGAGTTGGAGGAGTGGAGGAGACCTTGCAGCTACAACCTTTCCATAACGCATTCCCTGGTTTCCTCAATGCCACCATCAGCCTCCCATCAACCCCAGGGGGTAGGGCTGTCATCTAGGTAGCATCTCCAGCCCCAGGGCCGTGGGCTTTCCCATCTCCTCTGGGAAATGGTTATGGGAACAGTGAGAAGGACACAGCCTCTTGGGTTGTTTTTTAGTGACCTATGGAATGACAAGCTCCAGTGCTTATTACTACACCAAAGTGATGTCTGAGCTCTTCTTACATACCCCGTCAGACACCGGAGTCACCTTCCAGGCCATCAGCAGCATGGCAGACTTCTGGGATGTGAGTATGAGATCTCCTCTACCCCTCTGCTCCCCTTCTCAATGGCCTGAGGAAGGTTGGACTGTGAGCCAGAGAGGTTGGAAGTGAGTCAGGCCACATGCCCAGAGATCAGGTCAGTTAAGGATCAGGCTGGGTCAATGGGTCAGGCTGAAATAATGGGTTAGGCTGGAGTTCAGGTGGAGGTAGGTGAGGTGTCAGGATATTGATCAGGGAGGCAAACCAGGAGTTAGACTTAGTACTGGGAGTCAGAGGTAAGGATGAACTTCAAAACACATTTCAAATGAAGAGTAGGGCCATGCCAGGTCAGGATCTGGTCAAGGTCCATTGGTTAGCTGAGAAGTCCAAAAAAAGAAGACTGGGCCGGGCGCAGTGGCTTACACCTGTAATCCTAGCTCTCTGGGAGGCCGAGGCGGGAGGATTGTTTGAGCTCAGGAAGTTCGAAACCAGCCTGAGCAAGAGCGAGACCTCGTCTCTACTAAAAATAGAAAGAAATTAATCGGACAACTAAAAATACATAGAAAAAATTAGCCGGGCATGGTGGCGCATGCCTGTAGTCCCAGCTACTCGGGAGGCTGAGGCAGGAGGATCCCTTGAGCCCAGGAGTTTGAGGTTGCTGTGAGCTAGGCTGACGCCACGGCACTCTAGCCCAGGCAACACAGTGAGACTTTTTCTCAAAAAAAAAAAAAAAAAAGAAGACTGAAGACGAATTGGGGTGGGGGTGGGGGTCAAGGAATGAGGGCAAAGGTCATTATTTGGGGTGGGTCAGGACGAGGTTGGGTAAGGTTCAACCCAGCCTGTGGTCCAGTTTGCCCAGGGCCCATTACTGGACAGTTTGTACTGGACCAAATGGTACAACAACCAGAGCCTGGGCCACGGCTCCCACTCCTTCATCTACTACGAGAACCTTCTGCTGGGGGTTCCGCGGCTGCGGCAGCTGAGGGTCCGCAACGACTCCTGTGTGGTGCATGAGGACTTCCGTGAGGACATTTTGAGCTGCTACGATGTCTACTCTCCAGACAAAGAAGAGCAACTCCCCTTTGGGCCCCTCAATGGCACAGCGTGAGTGAGCCCCCACCAGTGTCACAGGGCTTGCCCTCTGAGCATGACACCATCCCAAGGTGTGGGAACCACCTCCACTGAGGCTTAAGGAGCCTTGGGGGTGCTTTAGGGGAATTGGAGGGCATCTCCCTCAGTCCCAACTGTGACTCTTTGGGGACCTTGCTCTATCACTCAGGCACAGAGGAGGTGGGTTAGCAGACACAGCTATAGCCTCTGTCATTCCCACACACAGGTCACAGTCACTCTTACCCTCCCCTGCAGGTGGTCCTTCGGGGTGGGGGGGAAGCACTTGCTTGTCCACGGGGATATGCCCTCGGGGGTATGGAGACTGGGTGAAGGTGAAGAGTCTGACTCTTGGGACTGAGAGAGGGAGCAGCAAGGTGTTGAGGATGGATGAGGAATTAGAGAAGAAAGGGAAAAGGGTGAACAGGACAGGAAAGAAGGGGAGGAAACAAGGGCCTGGGGCAGAAGTACGGTGCATAAAACAGAGAACCATGGGGTTCAGCAGCCAGTTGTACAGTGGCAGGGCCAGAAGGATCTTTTCTGTATTGTACGGTCCAGGTGCTTTCCTATGGGGACTACTTGGGTTGGGGCCAAAAGTGGTGCTTTGTCATCCATAGTCTTGAGTGACAGAGTGAAAAATTAGGAGATTTACATTTGAGTGTCAGTTCTGTCACTATATAGCTGGATTATCTCAGAAATCTCTGAGTCACAGTTTCCTCTTCTGCAAAATATGATAATATTTCCCCTCCCTTCTCAAATGGTTGTTAGTATCAAACAATATATGTCAAACATATATTATATGTCACATACATTACATAATATATATTTTATAATACATGATATGTTATATAATATATTTCACATATATGATATGTTATATATAATATATTTCACACAGACACATATACAATATGTTATATATTTCACATATATATTATATATAGTATACGAGGACTGTCCAAAAAGTATCCAGCCATTGTTAATATAATGAGAATGGTTACACGGCTGAATACTTTCCGGACAGCCCTCATATATCACATATTATACACACACACACACACACATACACACACACACACACACACACATGCACATAATATATGTGAAACTATAAAGTCCAGACAATTATAAAGTGTTGCCATTGCCTTGGGAGATGAGCTTTTGGGCTGGCTCGGATGGCATTTTCTGTGGCAGGTGGACATACCACTCGCAGGATGAGCTGGGGGGCTCCTCCCACTGGGGCAGGCTCACCAGCTACAGTGGAGGCGGCTACTACCTGGACCTTCCAGGACCCCGACAGGCCAGTGCAGAGGCTCTCCAGGACCTCCAGCAGGGGCTGTGGCTAGACAGGGGCACTCGGGTGGTGTTCATCGACTTCTCAGTCTACAATGCCAACATCAATCTGTTCTGTGTTCTGAGGTGAGCCCCCTTTCCCTACTGCATCCCCCCATCCATGGATCCTGGCTCCTTTCTCCTGTGCTTGAGACCCTTCCCTAAACTTGTATCCTATGGTGGTTGGTGAGGGTGGAGAGGAGAGGAGGTGGGAGCAACTGTCCTGGACCAGGTCCCCACTAGATGTGCCCCTGCCCCCACAGACTGGTGGTGGAGTTTCCAGCTACAGGAGGCGCCATCCCATCCTGGCAAATCCGCACGGTTAAGCTGATCCGCTATGTCAGCAACTGGGACTTCTTCATCATCGGCTGCGAGATCGTCTTCTGCATCTTCATCTTCTACTATGTGGTGGAGGAGATCCTGGAGCTCCACATCCACCGGCTTCGCTACCTCAGCAGCATCTGGAACATACTGGACCTGGTGGTCATCTTGGTAAGGGACAGATATCTTGGACTTGGGACATACTGGGAGGAGGAGGGGATCCACTTTTTTTTTTTGAGGCAGAGTCTTTCTTGCTCTGTTGCCTTGGCCAGAGTGCAGTGGTGTCATCATAGCTCACTGCAACCTCAAACTCCTGGGCTCATGCGATCCTCCTGCCTCAGCCTCCCAAGTAGCTGGGACTACAGATGCACACCACAAGGCCCTGCTAATTTTTCTATTTTTAGTAGAGACCGGTCTCACTCTTTCTCAGGCTGATCTCGAACTCTTGAGGTCAAGCGATCCTCTGAACTTGACCTCCCAAAGTGCTAGGATTACAGGCATCCGGCCCAGGATCCACCTTTACAGGGGTCCCAAGTCCTCCTTCTAACTTTTGGTCAAATAACTGTGTAATAAGTCTCTAAGCAAGAGGCTGATGTTCCCCTGGCCCCGCCCTTGGAAAACACTGTCTCTCACATCTCCTATCCTCCTCACTTGCTTATGTACTTAATATCCTGTTCCTCTCATGTCTTTTTGCCTTTATGACCTATCCCCTTGAAAGCCCTGCTTTTTCTCTTCTCCATTCAAATATCCTGCCCCTTTGTCTTCATTCCTTCCTACTAACAAGACACACTCGTTCCTGACCAAGGCTGGGAAGTGGTGGGAGTAGAGGAAATAAATTTCTTGGTCCCAGTTCCCTGTGGCCCTTCACAACCTATATGTTTACTACTGGCCCCAGAGCCTTCTACTGAGCTCCCCAATCATCTTTTCCAATTCTATTTGGACCTGAGATAGTCAACAACTCACAGGGAAGGATGTTTTTTCCCCACCTGTCTTACCTACCCTGGCTCTTCCCTGGGGCCCCAACTTTGAATTTCCCTTGAGATCCTTTTGACTATTCTGATGCCCCCATGACCACTATGTGACAGCTCTCCATTATGGCTGTTGGCTTCCACATATTCCGAACCCTGGAGGTGGATCGGCTGATGGGGAAGCTCTTGCAGCAGCCAAACACGTACGCTGACTTCGAGTTCCTCGCCTTCTGGCAGACGCAGTACAACAACATGAATGCTGTCAACCTCTTCTTTGCCTGGATCAAGGTACCCTGGGGTTGCCCATGCCCAGTTCTGCCCCAGGGCACTCTTTCTCCCTTCCTTAATATGTGTCTCGTTTGGCAACTCCTGTGGCCTCCACAGGCCCCTAGAGTGGACTTTTCAATGCTTCTCCCTTTCCCTCCTTCACCACTTGGTTCGACATGGCCCTTCCAGATATTCAAGTACATCAGCTTCAACAAAACCATGACCCAGCTCTCCTCCACGCTGGCCCGCTGTGCCAAGGACATCCTGGGCTTCGCAGTCATGTTCTTCATTGTTTTCTTCGCCTATGCCCAACTCGGCTACCTGCTTTTTGGGACCCAAGTGGAAAACTTTAGCACTTTCGTCAAGTGCATGTGTGTGTCCTGCCCACTTCACTCCTCCCTGGCCCCTCCCCCTCCAGCTCCATGGATGTATGTGTCCTTGGGGAAGACGGGTAGATGAGTGTGGATGTGTCTGTGCTTGGAAGCATCTGTGTGAGAGGCTCCAGAAGCCCTGGTGTGTGCTCAAGTAATCTATGCACCCTGCTCTGTCTCTATCAGATGGGCTGACGTGCAGGGAGGGGTCTGTCTGTAGTTAGGGAAGTGGGATGAGGGTGTGGATTGGGGTCAGGGTTTGGTTAGGCTCTGGGTGAAGGCTAAACCTGGTCTCTCAGTTTCACTCAGTTCCGGATAATCCTTGGAGACTTTGACTACAATGCTATCGACGATGCCAACCGCATCCTGGGCCCTGCCTACTTTGTCACCTATGTCTTCTTCGTCTTCTTCGTGCTCCTGGTGAGGGTCTCTCTGAGGGGTGGGGACAAAGCCTGCAGCGTGGAGTTTTGGTCCCCATGTGTCCCCCACTCAGGATTATGATGAGTTTCTCAAATCAAGGATGGAGAATGTGTGTGGGGGGTGGACTTTTGGATGTTCTGAGAGCTAGCTAATGTGGTCAGTGTGGCCAGCACAGACAGTTTGCAGGTTTTCAGAGTATAATGGAACCTGCAGACACCCTCAGTAAAATCAAACCCACATCCTCTAAGGATGGAAAGGGAGAGAAAAGTGCCTCATGAGGAGAAGAAGCTGCATCTGGAAGCTGCTATGCCTGTTCTCCAAGACTCCCCTTCCTCGGGAACCTCTTGCTGATTTCTACTGCCACTACTTGGTAGTTCTGTCTGCCAACCATGAAAGATCTGGATTTGATTTTTATTAACAAGGCCAGCATGTTTCTTTATTTGATCAAAGGATAGGGATACAAACATGGATTGGGGGTAGATGGTAAAGAGAACACAACTGTACTCTTACCTTGAAAAGTTTCTGGTTTCGGTGGTTGGCAGGCCTTAACATGGAGGAGGTCTGTGGCATCTGTGGGGGTATCGTTGCGGTCAGAAAGGTTGCTGCAGCAACTGAGACTCAGGATACCAGGTTGATGAGGGAGCATGATCCATCCCTAACAGAATTGTGCCGAAAGGCTGGGCTCTGAGGACCCTGAGAGGTGGGGATTGGTAGTCTCCAGAGCTGGAGTTAAAAGCATTGGATCTTTTAGGAACATGTTTCTGGGACAACAATGGGGTCAGTGGGCTCAATGCTTTCAGTGGGTCTGGAGGTGAGGACCCAGGTCCCTGCCTTATCCTCCAGAACATGTTCCTGGCCATCATCAATGACACATACTCAGAGGTCAAGGAGGAGTTGGCTGGACAGAAGGATGAGCTGCAAATTTCTGACCTCCTGAAACAGGTGACCACCCAGTCTTCTTGAGCTGCACATTTGCATCAGGGCCCGGGTCCTAGGCTGTGTCTCCTGATCTGTTTCTGACTGGTGTAGGGGCCTGTGCCCTGTGTGCCTTCGACTTATCTGGAAGTATGGCATCCTGTGGGTGGCAGTGGGGTCCGGGGTGATGAGAAGCCTGTGGGAAATGGTGCCTATCCCTCTCCCTTTCAGGGATACAACAAGACCCTACTACGGCTGCGTCTGAGGAAGGAGCGGGTTTCAGATGTACAGAAGGTCCTGCAGGGTGGGGAGCAGGAGATCCAGTTCGAGGATTTCACCAACACCTTGAGGGAGTGAGCAGCCAGAGAGCCAGCCTTCTCTGATAGTGGTCTCTAAGTCTGTAACCCTCAACTGTAGGGGTCTATAGGCCTCTGATCTTGACTTGCAGGCTTCTGACCTTTGCCCATAGGTCTCTGATCCTGATCTTCAGAATTGTGCCCTTGGTTTAAAGGTCTCCAACCATGGTCTATAACATTCTGGACCTTGTTGATCAACTCTTAGGACTAATGTAATAATATAAGTCCATAATCATTTCATATAACCCCCATTCTCAAAAAACTCCGATCTTCCTTCATTGCTTTCTCACAAACACTGTTCTATTCCTTTATCCACTTCCTCCCCGATCCCCAGTCAAACATATTAATAAACATGGAACAAATATATTGTGAGCACCAGCTGGAGGCCAGGGATTGAGTAAGGGACAACATAATAAATGAGATAAAGTATTTGTTTTCCAGGAGCTCATAGATGTGTAAGCAGAAAAATTGAATCACAGAATAAATTCAACAACAGAAGTGACTATAAGAGAGGGGGTATGGAGTAAAAAGAGCGATCAATTCTATCTCTGAGCTCAAAGGAGGGCTTCCTGGAAGAGGTGATGTCTGAATAGGGTTTTGGAGGATGAATAGCTTATCAGCAGAGAGCAAAGGAAAGCCATTACAAGAAGAGCTGAGAGCATATACAAAGACATAGAGGTCTGAAACCAAGCAACATATACAGAAGTAGTAAGGAGTTGAGCATTGCTAAGGGATCAAATGAAAGGTGGGTCATAACAGGAGATGAGGCCAGAGAAATGGGTAAGGGCCACACTGGGAAAGGCCTTTAACACACCACCACTCTATCCAGAAAATAGGGTGCCCAGAAGGGATTTTAGGCAGGAAGGAGCATATTTAGACCTGCATATTAGAAAGGTTAATTACGCTAGTTGTATCATGGAGGATGTATTTCAGGAGTGGAGGTAAAGGGGAAGCTGGGGGGTGGCAGGTTTTTATATAGGGGCAAAGAGATCTTGCAATAATCCCTGTAGGAGGTCACAAGGCCCTGAATCATGCAGCAGGAGGTAGGAGAGGAAGAAGAAATAGATTCACATGATTTCTTGGGAGTAAAATTGCTAGACTTTGGAGATATTTCTTTCCTGGAAAGCAAGACTCTTGCCAAAGTCTAGCAAAAGAATGGGGAGTCCATAAACGAGAGGTCACAGCCACAACAGGGCAGACATCATTTCATCATCCTGTTCTCTAGACTGGGACACGCAGAGCATGAAATCACTGAGCTCACAGCTGCCTTCACCAGGTTTGACCGAGATGGGAATCGCATCCTGGATGAGAAGGAGCAGGAACAAATGCGACAGGACCTGGAGGAGGAGAGGGTGAGCCAGGCTGATTGGTGGAGAGGCAGCATAAGGAAACTGCTCACCATCTCCTTCCCCTGACACATCCAGGACACAAACCCAGACTGAAAATCTTCCCATAGATGGGCAGGAAAGAATGCTCTAGAATGGTAGTTCTCAAACTGCTGCACATTGGCATATCCTGGGGAGCCTTTAAAAATCCTCATACTCAGGCCACATACCCTAGACCAATTAAATCAGAACTTCTGGGGGTGGGACCCAGACATCAGTATTTTTTAAAGCTCCCCACATGATTCCAATGCTTAGCCAAGGGTGAGAGTCATTGCTCTAAAACACAGTCTTGGGGGAAGAGACTAAGTGCCCAAGAATCCCTGATAATTCCCTCTGAGGACTTGCCTTCTCCTTGGGATTTTCAACCTCTAATCCTCACTGCCCCTACTCTGCCTGCTTCATACCTATCCAGGGTAGACCCAAAAAAGTCAAGGGTGGAGTGACAGTAGCCCGGAAAGAAAGTGCCAAGAATTCTCGTGCTCTTCCTCCTCTCCTAAAATGAGTTGGCCTCTAGTGAACACCTCACCAATCAAGGCTTCAAGTAGCCTGTGTTTTCTTTCTTTGGGAGGTGACTCCCTCTTCAGAGGTTGGTCCACCACCACCACAACCATTGGTCCACCTATTGTCTCCAGAGTCTGGGAGGGAAGGGGAACAGCAAGAACTGGAATCCAAGGCTTGGTCCTGAAAGCCCATTAGAGCAGGTGATAGAACAGGAGCTGATGGCTTCCCAGGGTCATCTTCTCCCCTCTAACCTCTGACTTCCTGATCAGGTGGCCCTCAATGCTGAGATTGAGAACATGGGCCGGTCCAATGCGAGTAGCCTACCATGCGAGTTGGGCCCAGAAGCTGCCAGAGCAGGAGGCTGGATTTCAGGAGAAGAATTCTACATGTATGTACAGTCAGGGACCCAGGGCTGGCTATGTTTGTAATATCCTCTCTTGAGCATTTTATCACAACTTTCCAATTCCCTGTCCTAGTCCAGGGAGAACCTCCAATCCCCTTTATTTCTCCCTAAAAGGCTGGGTCTTATCTTCCTTGTTCCAGTCCAGACACATGCTGTTCTGTTACCCCTGCCTCTGTAGATACCTGGTCCCCAGGCACACATTTTTGCTCCACTGGTCTCTCTCAAATCCTTCACAGGCTCACAAGGAGAGTTCTGCATCTGGAGACTGTCCTGGAAGGACTTATGTCCCAGGTTGATGCTGTAGGCTCAAAACTAAACCTGCTGGAGAGGAAGGGGTGGCTGGCTCCCTCCCCAAGCATGGTGAGTGGCCCTTCACCTGGGTCTTCTTAGCTCCCCACAGCTGAACTCTACCATTTTTTCCACTTAGTGGGTGGGGGAAGAACATTTTGAAAGCCATAAGTTCTCAGGCTCCTGGGGAAACATATTCCCAGTGGTCAGTGTATCAGTGGAGGTGGGGGGTGGAGATAAGGCTTTGAAGTTGGTTGCCCTGGCCTAAGGGCTGCCTTGGCCTCTAGAAGATGGTCTGTGTCAGTCTGTTTGGCTGCAGTAACAAGCTATCATAGGCTAGGTGGCTTATAAACAATAAAAGTTTATTTCTCATGGTTTGGGAGGTTGGGAAGTGTAAGATCAAGGTGTCAGCAGATTCAGTGTCTTGTGAGGGCCGAGTTTCTGGTTCATAGACAGCTGTCTTCTTGCTGTGTCCTCACATGGTTGAAGGGGAAAGGAAACTGTCTTTTATAAGGGCACTACCCCCTTTCATGAGGGCTCCACACTCATGACCTAATCACATACCAAGGGCCCCACCTCCTAATGCCATCACCTTGGGAGTTAGGTTTCAACATATGAATTTGGGAGGGACACAGACATTCAGTCTATGGCAATCTGGGTTCTCTGGAATCACATCCAGAGAAAAAGAAAGTGGGACACGTATTTTCCCTTCAAATGACCTGTCCTTTTTTCTCCCAATAGGAAGAACAAGCCATTTGGGAGCACCTGCAGCCAGTCCCAGCTGTGACTCCAGCCCCCTGGCGAGTCCAGGGTGGGCAGGACAGTGGTGGGGGAGGAGGCCTAAAGCATCAGACAGCAGGCTTCTCTCCCTCTGCCTCCCCAAAGGCTCCCTCTCCACATGCCCTCCACTTCTAGGAGAGCAGGTGGCACTGTGGCTACTACAGAGCCCCACCCTGCGTCTGGTTTTTTGAGCCAACGTTTCTGTGTATAGCAGGCATCATGCTTAGGCTTGTGACTCAGTGTTTCTGTGTGAAGCCACATAGCTCTGTGAAATAACACTTCCCACTGGGCTTCTTGCTCCCTGTAAAAAGAGCACTTTGCTCTGCTGTGGTGATAAAAAGTGTCAATAACAAACAAGACAAAGGAAGGGAGGGTAATGACTCTCTCTGAGCACCTGGATGGCCATAATTCATGAAAAAGGTAGAAGCCAAAAGAGCAGGCTGTGTCTAAATGTCTTTCTACTTGCTAGTGAATCTTATTTTTATCCTTCGTGCATCTAGAGTTCTGCTGCTAGTGTCTAAGGGTTTCTTGCCTTCCCCTGTAGAGGTGCCCTATAAAAGAAAACGGGAAGCCTTGGAGGATGAGACTCTCACGCGGTGACATTCCAAAGTTGCAGAGGAGTAGAGTGACACCCTCCCAGAGCAAAGTCTAAGAAGGCTCTTCTGGAGGAGCCTGCCTGCTGGCATTCCACTGAACCTGGGAACTGAGAAGGCTGTAAACCAGGAGATAAAAATGGTGTCTGAAGAGAATCAAACAAGGAAATGAACTCAAGATTCAGAAATCTTTGAACTATTATGTGGTGGTTTCTGACTCTCTTCTTCCATAGGACCATGTGGGTTTTCATGGTGACTATCAATAAAACTTCCTAGGAGAACCAGGACTTTGCATTTGCTTCTGGGATTATTATAAAGGGAAAAAGATAGGCTGAAACTGTAGGCCATCCATGTGTTTGGGCTGGAGTAGGTTCATGCTCTCTGGGAGGTATAGAGTGGGGGCAGTGACAACATAAAGGGGCTGGGCTGCCCCAGGAGTCCTGAAATAAGAACCCCTGGCTCATAGGAATGGTTTGAAATGATGGGTACTATGGTTACACCATAAGGAAGAATGGAGACAGGTGAAACAGGGAGACCCAGTCCTCAGGATGGAGAGAGTCAGGTTAAGAGGGCTGGGAATGGGGAGTAGCTTGTGTGTGTGTGTGTGTGTGTGTGTGTGTGTGTGTGTGTGTGTATGGTATACCGGCATGGGAGGGGTGAGAGGGTGTAGATGGAGGATAAACAGGGATAAGACAAGAAATTCCTACACCAAGATTTCAGGTGTCCAGGAGCCTGCATCCTGAGACCTGCTATATATCTCTTCTCCCTTCTCCTGTGACTTTTATCCCCTCCTCATTTTGCACCATTGCTCCCCAGTCACTTTTTCTCTATTCCTTTCACTCCCCTGTTCTCCCATCCATTAAGTACTCTGTACACCGAGGAGACTTGTGAAGCAGCTAAATGCAATTAAGATAACCAGAGTGGATCCTCGGCCGTAAAAAAGTTACAATCTAACCTGTCTTCAAGAAAGGCTGTATCAACTGAAGAGAAGCAGGTGCCTGCCTGCAGTTTAAGACATAAAGGCCAATGAGTTGGTGTTAATCCAGGACATTGGGAGGGAGAATATTTAGGATCTGGGTCAACGCCTGAAGGTTTCCCAAAGTCTGCATGAGACTACCTGCATGAGATTGCTTGGATTGCTGAGCAATCTTTTGGTGACTAACACCAGCCAGGGTGTGGAGAGTCTGGGGAGAGGGCAACCTGACTCCGGTGACTTTGGTCAGCAGGCCACTCTGGGCTCAACTAAGCCCAGACGGATGGTGGTGGTACAAGACAAGTGATCCCGCCAGGGTGCGACTGCAGGAATGAGCGCGCCCTCAGTTCCAGACCTCGCGACCCTTGGCAGCGGGTCGATTCATAATAGCTTGGCTTCAAATTTGGCTTCGTGTTTACCCTTTGCGACAAGTGGTTACCTGAGCCATGACTTGGGCAAGAGGGGCACGACCGCAGGGGGCCACCGCGGCCGGTGGGGCGGGCGCGGCACGCCGGATGCGCATGCGCAAACTCCCCAGAACCGGAAGCAGCTCGGGGCCGGGCATGGCGGCTGCGGCTGAGGGTGTCTCAGCGACCCGACGGGAGGAGCCTGCTCGAGGTACCCGGAATGGATGGGGACCGGCAAGGGGTTTGGGGCTCGGGGTGGGGACCCGGTATGGCAGAGCTGAGTGTGTGGGTGGCTCCCCTGGCAGGAGCGGGCAGGTCGGAGGGGAGCAGCTTTGCGCGCGAGCGTTTGTCCTGTCAGAGCGACTGCGAGGGTTTGGCCAGGGGATCGGGTTTGAGCGAGGGGCAAAGTTGGCGTGTCAGGTCGGCAAGGACGAAGTGAGGGACTTGAAATTATGGCAGATGGAGAATGGAGCTGACTCGATCGAATGAGAACAGGTAGAGGGATGTAGGAGCAGGCTGCTTTGGCCAGATTAGGACCGGGGGTAGAGCAGGACATTTACTCATTCTCCCTTGGCCCAGACGATGCCGCGGTGGAGACAGCTGAGGAAGCAAAGGAGCCTGCTGAAGCTGACATCACGGAACTTTGTCGGGACATGTTCTCCAAAATGGCCACTTACCTGACTGGGGAACTGACGGGTGAGGCGGGGTCTGGGTTGATTCGGATATTGCTGAGCACCACTCCCGGGACCTGTGGTTGACTCAGGACCCCTGGGGTGCTTTAGCATCATCAGTCTGCAGCTCCCTCACCCCACATCCCCTGAGACAGGCTGTCCTACGTTTGGGGAGGTCATGAATGGGAGGGAAAGAGGTATATATATATATACACAAACCACATTTTCTTTATCCACTCATCAGTTGATGGACTTTTTATTTTTTTGTATGTGAGGTTTGAAGCCTGGCTGGTGGCGTCAACCAAAATAGGGCAGCTGGAAAGAGGAACCATGTTTGGTGTGAAAATGTTTTCAGTTTTGGGCTGGCTGCTTGTTGGTATTACTTGGACACTCAGGTGACTTGTATATGTGAGTCCAGAGCTCAGAGACTGGTCAAAGCAGGAAAAATAGATTTAGGAGTCACTTGCGTAGTGGTGTGATTGGAGGCTGTGCAGGATGAGATTGCCAAGGAAGAACCTAGAGGTAGGTAAGAGAGCCTAAGCGAAAATCTCAGGGAATGCCTGTATGGTGCAATTAATTTGCTCTTAATAACAGTGTTTAAAGTACCTAGGTTTCCAAATTATTTATTAATATTTATTATAAAATTAATTTTAAGGTGATCATTATTTCCCTGTGATTGTCATTCTTACTTGCATGAATGCTTTTTTGAGTTTCAAAGGAAGATAGCATAACCCATGAGAATGTGCCACCCATGTAAACATCAGTTATGTGTCACAGCTGAGATAAAGTTGAAAACTGATACTTAAGGGGTCTGGACGAGAAAGGATCTGGCACAGAAACTTAAGAAGATCAGTTAGAAATTAGAAAATCAGTTTAGTACAATTCCATTGCAGCTAAGGGAAATGAGCTTATCACAAAGAGAGGGAGATCAATAGTGTCAGAGAAAATGGAGAGGTTTAGGAGGATAAGAAATGAGCAAATGCCATGGATTTGGTGGTTAGCAGGGCATTGATGACCTTGGAGCTTGTAATTTCTCTGGATGGTTGGGGCAAAGACCAGACTACAAGGGTTTACATGAGTGAATTGTGAGGGAGAGGAAGTAGTGAGTGTCAGCTACTGTTTCAGATTGTTTAGCAGTGAAGGCCCTTTGCTTTACTGAGCAAATGATGTAAGTGTAGCAGAATAGAGGGAGTGCTTTTGAACTGGAGGAAACCTGAATGTATTGCTATGTAGAGAGGAAGGATTCAGGATGGTGGGAGAGTTTGGAAATGCAAATGAAAGGAGATGATTGAAGAGAGGCTCTGAAGGGTAGAAGGGTTTGGGATCAAGAGCACAAGAGGAGGGGTTGTCTTGGCAAGAATGGGAACACTTTTGCCTCTTGGGAAGATATTAAGGTACAGAGAAGTTTAGAAGTAAGGCAGAGAGGTTGAAGCATTTTATGGTAGTGATCTTGGCTTTTGGGAAAATTGGAGTAGAGGCTATTTACTTTGAGTGGGGATAGGGAAGAGAATTGAGGATATGAGAAGCAAACAAATGGTTTGGAAAAGTCACTGCATAAAATGCAATATATTAGAAATAGGCTGGGCGCGGTGGCTCACGCCTGTAATCCTAGCACTCTGGGAGGCCGAGGCGGGCGGATTGTTTGAGCTCAGGAGTTCAAGACCAGCCTGAGCAAGAAAGAAATTAATTGGACAACTAAAAATATATAGAAAAAATGAGCCGGGCATGGTGGCGCATGCCTGTAGTCCCAACTACTCGGGAGGCTGAGGCAGTAGGATTGCTTGAGCCCAGGAGTGTGAGGTTGCTGTGAGCTAGGCTGACGCCATGGCACTCACTCTAGCCAGGGCAACAGAGTGAGACTCTCTCAAAAAAAAAAAAAAAAAAAAGCAATATATTAGAAATAGAATCATGCATAGTTATAAATGAGTTACTAGGAAGTGGTGAGGTCTTAGTTGATAGTATATATATTATGATGCAATCCCCCAGATTACATGTTTTGATGCTCTGAAAGTACCAATACTATTTTGCCTCCCTTTTCTTAGAACATGAGTTTATTATTTCCCTTTGTAACCATGACCCTGAATCTTCTGGATCTTGTTTAAATAGTTTGCTGATTGTTGCCTACATTTCTACTTAGACATTCAGAATACACAAGCTAAGTATAAATGTCATAGATCAAAAGTGGCCCACTCCTTTGACATTCCCTAGGTCTTGCCTTGAACTACAATTTGCCTTATAATTTCACATTCCAATGATCTAAGACAAATCTTAAAGGCATCTTCTGTTTGTTTTAAAGCCACCAGTGAAGACTATAAGCTCCTGGAAAATATGAATAAACTAACCAGCTTGAAGTATCTTGAAATGAAAGATATTGCTATAAACATTAGTAGAAACTTAAAGGACTTAAACCAGAAGTGTAAGTAATAATTTTTATAATTAAACATGTTTGTATTTAATTTTATTTTGTGCCTGGGGCTATGGAGAAGGTGAGGGAACCTGGCATCCCTGCCTTGAGGGAGCTCATTTTCTAAAAATGAATTATAAAATTAAAGTGAATTTCTTCCATTCTGAGGATTAGCATGCCTTGTTGGTATGGTTATTTCTGCTTCCAAATCTTGATTTTATCAGTTTATTTTTGGATAGAGAAGGGGCAGAGGAGGGGTGGCCAGATTCTAGTGAATTGATTTAACAATGAAATCCATAAAGGACTACTCTATAAACAGAAAACCAGAAAATCTATAATGAAAGACGCTAATTTAGAGTGGTCAACTACATTTTTCCATTGACTTATATTTGTGTTCCTTGTCTCTAGGGACTCTTTCTTGGTATGGGAGTACCCAAAAAACTAAATCAGTAATGGAAAGATTACTCGAGGAGCAAGAAATTAAAAAGAAAGGAAAATTAATAGTGGAGAGAGGTATTAATAGGTGACTAGGTCACAATCATGCCTGATCAGCTAGCTACTGAAAGCATCTGCCCTACTAGTGATCAGAATCGTGTCACCCCACCTAGTCTGTCTTAGGTATAGCTGGAGAGACACTAGCATTCTTACTTTCCCACTCTTTTTCTATGCTCTTCGTCAATACCACATAAACATGTGGTTTGTCTTTGTTTTTAAAGATGCTGGACTGCAGCCTTATTTGGATCAGATCAATGTCATTGAAGAGCAGGTAGCAGCTCTTGAGCAAGCAGCTTACAAGTTGGATGCATATTCAAAAAAACTGGGTAACC